TGGCACAAAAGGAACCACCTGCGCTTTTGCAGCCTAACCCAACAAACTGCAGATTTCAACTCCTCGCACCCATAAGGGACACACTCAAGAAGCAGAATCAGGTTCGGAGGAAGCCGGAGCCGGACCCATGGGCCGGCGACATGGAACCGCTGTACCAGCAAACGCACAAGCAGGTCCACCAGATCCAGTCTCACATGGGACGCCAGGAGACGGCAGACAAGCAGTCTGTGCACTTAGTAGAAAACGAAATCCAAGCAAGCATACCAGATATTCAGCCAGCTAGAATGCCTGGAGATTTTGTCCAGCAAGGAGCCTCCCAACAAAAGACAGAATGCCAAACTTTGTGTTGACCAGTTAAAGTATGATGTCCAGCACCTGCAGACTGCTCTCAGAAACTTACAGCATCGGCGATATGCAAGGGAGCAGCAGGAGAGACAGCGAGAGGCGCTTCTGTCTCGCACCTTCACCCCCAACGTGGAATGCGGCACCCCCTGCGAGGCTGCATGAGGCTGCGACGGCCCCTTCGAGGCTGCGTGAGGCTGTGACGGCCCCTGTGAGGCTGCGACGGCCCCTGTGAGGCTGCAACGGCCCCTGTGAGGCTGCGTGAGGCTGCAATGGCCCCTGAGAGGTTGCGACGGCCCCTGCGAGCCTGCTGACGGCCCCTGGGAAGCCGGCAGAGCAGCGCGGGCTGCCCAGACGGCTTTGTCGATGGCCCGCGAACCAGCTGTAGTGTTGCTTTCTCCTCACTTTTAGTAGTGAAATCCTCATTTTAAACATAAGAGGACACATTATTTTAAAAAGCCGTTACGTGGCTCCGTACCCTTTCTGAGTAGAGCGTGAACAAGTCGTGAGAGACCTTTCTGAACACAGGGACACGTTGCAGATGGAAATAGCTACATTTTCCATGTGTATGAACTTTGACCCGGCGACAAAAAGCGTACACCTATGGATGAGGACAGTGGGGGGGTAAGGGCAGAGGGTGGGTGGGAACTGGGTGGAGGGGAGTTATGGGGGGGAAAAAAGGGGAACAACTGTAATAATATGAACAATAAAGATTTTTTAAAAATAATAAATAAGAACAACTAAAAAACAAAAGGTCGTATTATTGTAATAGATAGTTTGTAATCTTGAACAGATGTTTGTTGTTTTTCATTTTCACTCAGTGTGACAGAGAGTAGCTGAAACTCCCCCATATGTGATACTGGTCTAATTATTTCAATCCCAGCAAAGAGGGTAAGACAACGAATGACAAGGAGACAGAGAAAGGCAGGATAAAGTCAAGGTGTGTAGATGGCAACCCTTCCATCTTCTTTCTAGAGATTTTGCCATTTTCCTAAATGCGGACATTAGTCAAGGGCTACCTTCACCAGGTGGGTGGAGAACCACCAGGAGCTCGTATCAGAACTGAGTGTGCCCGCTGCTTCTGTCAACCTGGGCTGCCTTGGCAGGGACACGATGTTTACCTCCAGGTGCCTGGTCAGTGGCAGGCTTCGGTAGAATCACCACTGACCTCATGACTTCCTTGAGAAATAAAACTGTGTACTTAAATAAAGCTTTTGTAGCTCCTTGGTTATCTTGTTTTGGGGTTTTCCCCCAAGAAAAGGCTGCAAGATCAGGGGTAATTTTCCACACTCAAGTCATATCATGGAAACTTTCCACCTAAAGGGGCTGCTGCCTCTGAACATTACTATGGCCAGGGTCAGTGTACACATGGCCGGTAGTTTCATTGTAAACATCTATGCCACAAGCATTTTTGCAGCACAACTAATTAACCAGAGAAAATTTCACTGGAAAAGATTTAAAAAAACAAAATATAAAAGAGACATTACAAAAGGACATAATGAAAATGAAAATTAATAACAAAATTAAAGACTTTATTGCAAAAAATGAAAATACGTTGTTTTTGAAGTCATTTGTCCATAGTGCACTTTGCTTGCTTGTTGATTTGTCTCCACATTCAGCATTGCACTTCTTTTATCACTAAAATCTCCTCCTTCTTTAAGAGAGGTATCAATTTCCAACTAGAGAATTAATGATGCTCTTAAAGACTGCTATGAATTAGTAGCCACCTCTTTTATGTTTGCCATAGCTAGGTAAACTTGGTTCTCATAGGTGGAGGGATGACTGTGCTCATGGAAAAATATGAAATATATGAAATAACTGACATGTTATAATTTTCTAGTATAGTATGCAACTTGGCTAAGATTTATATAATATAAAAATAGAAGAATTGTGAGGACTTTGTAATTGGAGTATAGCATGCAATCTGGCTAAGCTCTACATAATATAAAAATGGGAGTGCTACAAAAACCATGTTAATGGAGAAATGAAACCAAACTGACAACTAGCTTAAATATTTGTCTGCTGGAGGTAGATGACTCATCAATGAAGAAATGAAACCAAACTGTCATCTATTTTATCTTTTATGGTGAAACTGCCTTACTACCAATTAGTTGTGTGGTGAAAATGTTTGCTGTGAAATGCCTGTAACAAAAATACCTGAGGCGAAGATGTTTACAGTGAAACTATCCATAACCCAGGGTATATTTCCTCACAGTATCACACAGAAGGTGTATCTGCAGATCACAGGTGGCATAGTAAAGTCATGGATACTAACAAAAACACACGGGGAGAAACTAGGCAGAAGTGTTCAATTAAGTCAATTCCCTTTCTTCATATAGTAGAATTTATTCTCTCATTCAATGGAAAGAAATAATAAACCGTGATTTAAACTGATGGGTAATGCAAAAGTCATTTGCATTTAAGATCACCGTGTTTTTAAAAACCTTCCCAATTGTTTGGCTTACAGTAACATTAATTTCATCCCATAAGCACAGCTGGACTATCCAGATGCCTCTTCTATTAAAAGACACTAATGAATTACTAGAGAAATCCACATGCAGAATGTTGACTGTATTTTTAAAAACTAAACTGCCTTTGTTGTCAGCATTCATATGGTTATAGGAAGAAAAACAGCAGCAGTAAGTAAGCAAACCCGGTAACATTAAGGAATATTATGATGGCATACAAGGGGTACTATGCAGAAGGTCAGTACTTTTGACAAAAATCAGTCTACTCTACTGAAATCAAGCAAAATTGTTAGGGTGATTTCAGAGAAAACAGCATTTCTTACAAAGAAATGAGATAATGATATAACAAACCACATAAATGAGACATTCATTAATGCCTTTATAATCCTCACAAACATACAAAGGACCCAATAGCAAATGCTGATGTATATGTGATGGAGGAGGGAGAGTAGTGGGAGCAAAGGACTCTCTCTAGCACAAACACCTTTATTAATTCAACAAATATTTATTGAGTGCCTACTAAGTGTGCCAGGCTCCATTCTCTAGACTGATGATACCATAATAAACAAAACAGACAAAACTCCCTGCCCATAGAGAGCTTAGAATATAGTGAAGGATTTAAAACATGTGACTTTGAGCAAGGCATGTATTTGGGTGACTAAAAGGTTTGTTACAGAGAAATCAAGACAAGGAAGACTGCCAATACAAACTGAACGAACACACACACACACACACACACACACACACACGATACAAAATGAAGATTGTTGACAGGAAACTGAATATATAGAGAGAGCACATTCTCGTATTTCTAAATTATTTTTGCTAAAACCAAATACCAGCAACTACTTTCTCTGATGTAGCCTAGAATAGAGAGCTAAAAGTATGAACCAAAAATAAATAAATAAATCTCAGATGACCACTGTTACATGATGAACTGGGATAGAACCACAGTGGGCAACCAAAAAACGCACACTAACAGACTAGTTTCTGTTGAATAAAAACTTTAAAAATTAATAAATTAGCCTGGCTGATGTGGCTCAGTAGTTGAGCATCCAACCATGAGCCAAGAGGTCACTAGTTCCATACCCAGTCAGGGCACATGCCCGGGTTGTGGGCTCAATCCCTGGTAGGGGGTGTGCAGGAGGCAGCGATCTATGTTTCTCCCTTACCGATGTTTCTATCTTTCTACCCCTCTCCCTTCCTCTCTCTAAAATCAATAAAAACATATTTTTAAAAATCTAACTGAATTAACTGATAAACTCTCCAATTTATCTGGAAATAAATTCTGGAAATGAAAGGAAAGTATTAATTACATAAAATAAGTTTTTGAAAGTATGGAAACAGGGTTATAAAGTAAATTTAGAAGATATCTCTGCATATGGAGTAGTTTCACATATTTAGTCCAACAATTTGTTGAAATGTGATTCTACCATTTTCCCAGTCAACTCATAAGGCACAAACAGTGTACATTTGCCATGTTACTAAGTAATTTCAACTCTAACAAGAGATTAATGGAATATTCTTGGCAAAGAGATTGCACTCTTTGAGGGCTGCACATTAAATAAATGTATAAAAGCAAAACAGACAAAAATACATGCAGGCATAATGCATATACCAGAATCAAACGAGGGAGACAAAACTTGCAGCTGAAACATTCCAGGTCATCACTTCTGTCCACTGAAAAAGAAATATCTAAGAACTTCGCATTCGAGAGGCTTAGAACATATCCTCGGTCCCCAAGTTTTAAATGACTGTTCACCAAGAAGGGAAGCAGTGACAGTTCCTTCCAGGCCCATTCAAGACCCGAGGGTCGAATCCCCCAGCTTTAGGTAAGTGGGACTGGCAAGTACACCTAAGGCAAAGGCTGAGTAACAGGTCCGAAGCCCAATGACTCCAATTAAAAAGCAAAACTGAGTTTCAAAGGATGAAGGGAGGAAAGCGGAGAAACCACAGCAAGCAAAATAAGCAACTAACGGGAAAGCAATTCCACGCTGGAGAACCCACCAGGCCATTTCCACCCCTCAAAGGCAGTGCTGGGGAAGCCGCAAGGGCCGGGATCTTTGAGCTGCGGAACTCAAGATCCAGCCTGAAGCCGGTGAGGGGGAGCAGTTCCCGGAAACCCCCTCCCGCCCCCCCCTCCCACCAACCCCGCCCACTGGGTCCGCCCCGTCCCGCCCGGCTACTCACCGGATTCGCTTCCCACATAACGGTGGCGAAATCGAGCGGAGAGAGCCTGGGGGAAGGGGCTTGCCGCGGGCCGGGTGTTGGCTTTTTTCCAAGGGTGCCCGGGACTGAAGGGATGGAGAGGCAACCTTCCAGCAGGCCTTCCTTCTCCCCCTCTGTGTCACAAGCCAGCGTCTTCGGACCACCGAATCTCCCGACTTCCGCCCGGAGCGCTGACCCCGCCCCGCCCCCGGAAGCCGCCCCGCCCCTATCGCTCCCTTCCGGGCTCGGCAAGCTGGTGGTAATGCGAGGAGCTGGGGAGTGTCTGGATTGTAATGAAGTTTAAAGGGCTTCTAGTGCTAAATCACCATGGCAACATCCCCATCAAGAGATCCTCGGGCCACGGTTGGTTGTATTTTCTCCGATAGTTATTGGTCGCCGTATGCTGAGTGTAGTGGCCGAGAGCCACACAGGCCTGGGAATGGATCCCAGTGCAAGCAGTGGCATTTGGGACAGGCTTCACAACCTGACTCCGCTTCCTCATCTTCAGAATGGAGATGATAATAGTATCTACCTAAGGGCGTAGTGATATCATTTAAAGTACCTAGCATGGTATATGACATACAGCAAGAGCTCAAGGAATGTTGTTTGCCAGACACTGTGCAAGGCTGTCGAGTGAACAAGATTGACCTCATGGAGCTTAGATTAGAATCTAAAGAAAAAAACAAACAAAAAAATAAGTAACTTAGATCAATAAGAAGGTGCAGTATGGTTTATAGGTAGCATGGCAAGTACAGGGTTCTATGAGAGCAAGCTTACCTAGGATAGGTGTCCACTCCCCTCCCCACAAGAAGTTTAAGGATGTACTCCTGTTGAAGTTACCTGGGTAAAGAGCTAAGAGAGGGGAAGAATTTTCTAGTCAAAAAGTAGACTCTACCTATTGGAAATGAGAAACAATTTGCTATTGATCCTGGGCTTTTCTATACCTTCACACATTAAAAAAAATAAAGAATACCTACAGATTTAAAACATGGTATTATTTTAACTTAATATGATGTGGATATTCTTTATTACAATACATGTAAATCTACTTCATCATTTTAAAATCATCATTTTAAAGACTCCTGGCATTCCATAGTTTGTATGTGCTACACATCTGTTGTGACAGACATTTAAGTAGTTTTCAATTTTTCACTATTTCAAAAAATGCAGCAATAAACATTCTTGTACTGACATTTCTGTACATTTATCCATGTACCGCCATGTAATTAGTTCTAAGAAATGGAATTGTTCAATAAGAAATTATGAAAATTTCAAATTTTGATACATATTGCCAAACTACACTCAAAAATAGTATGTAAATTTGCGATCTCTAATTTATACTTCTAAATGGATTGAGGTAGGGATCTTCACTTTGCTTCTTTTCACTTTACTTTTTGCCAAATGGTTAACCAGTTGCCCCAATATCACTTATTAAGTAATCTACTCTTTCTCCACTACTTTAAAGTGCCACCATTAATCAAAAACTAAATTTGTGGGTACGTATTTTTGAACATTCTCATCTATTCTATTAGCTATGTGCTAATCCCTATGCTATGCCATACTTATTATAACTTCGTAATATATTCCCTCTCTCATAAAGCAAGTCCCCTCTTTATTTAAAATTTTCAAAATCCTGAGTCTTCTTATTCAGGAACACATCTCATGTATATAGATCTTTTATATCTTTACACACAAAAATTCACATAGATTTGCACAATTCTTGTGAAGTTTGTTTTTAGATATTTTATAGTCTTTGTTGTTATTATGAATGAGGAAAACTACTGTTTTTATGTAATCTTGTATCCTACCACCTGTGCAAATGTCTTATTAGTCCTAGTGGCTTTGTCAGCTGATGTCTCTGAATTTTTATGTCAATGATCATATTGAGGCAGGATAGTAAAAAGCTAGAAAAATTCCTTGGCAAGTGGAATAGGAAAACTGAGACAGATATTTAAATGGCCAAGCAGTTTATAGCCATCTAGTAAGTCCTATCTTCCCTAAATCAAGGACACTTAAGAATAAATGGTTTAGCCCTGGCTGGTATAGCTCAGTTGGTTCGGTGTCATCTCATGCACCCAAAGGTTGCCAGTTCAATTCCTGTTCAGGCCACATGCCCAGGTTGTGGGCTCAATCCCTGGTAGGAGGCATGCAGGAGGCAGTTACTCAATGTTTCGTTCTCACATAGATGTTTATCTCTCCCTCTCCCTCTCTCTAAAAAAATATATATATATATTTTTAAAAGTACAAATGGTTTACACTTCTCCTCCCTAACCAGAGGTTAAATAGCTCAAATCACCCTACTTAGGGAGATAGAGTGGTGCCGTTTGTGCCAATCACACCCAAGGACAGGTGAAGTTAAGGGAATAAATCTCATTTTAGCACATCAGCATAAAACTGATGAATATTCTATTGAGATCCTCCCCTAAGACCTTCCCGTAAACTCCCAGCTTTTAAAAACCCTCAAAACAAAGCTCCCACCATGTGTTCTCCCTCCAGAGATCATGCCCTCACCCTTCTCCTTCTTCATGCCCCACAGGTGTGCATCTCCTAAACTCTAAGGGACCCCACGAGCCTTGCAACCAGCAATAGACAGCAGCAGCTCATCCTGGGCTAACCCCCTGGACCTGTCCCCAGTGTCCCCTTTTCTCTAACTTCTCAGTGAGCCAGAGCAGCCCTGCCTTAGCTGATTTCTTTCCTATAACATTTCCAGAGGCCAAAGCAGCCCCACCTAGGTCTCTCCTGTTGCTTCTTCTATGCTAGGCCCTTCCTTGTCTCACTGGCCCCAGCTTTAATATATATACCCTCAAAATCACTTGGATTTGTGTTGTGAAATCTTTCCTGCACCAAGGCTGGTGTAATCCTGCCCCACACACTACCAGCCAGCCCTAGGCAGACCTGCTCATGGCCATCCCCTTTCCAGTAACAATATCACCTACAAAGAATGCAATTTTTTATCTTTCTATTGCAGTGGCCAAAACCTCAGAAAATTTTTGAAGAATACAGGAAAAGATAAATAAAATTTCTCATAAACTCTATTACTATATTCATTTTTACTGACTTATTAATATAATGAAATATATACTAGTAGATTTCCTAATATTGAGCCCATCCTTTTATTCTTGAAATAAACTTTGTTTCATTGTGTATTCATTATTCTTTGAATACACTCTTGGGTTCAATTTGTTAATCTCTTATTTATTTATTTTTTATTTGAGAGAGAGAGGGAGAGAGGGAGAGAGAGAGAGAGAGAGAGAGAGAGAGAGAGAGAGAGAGAGAGACATCGGTTTGTTGTTCCACTTATTTATACATTCATTGATGGATTCTTGTATGTGCCCTGACTGGAGATCAAACCCTTAACCTCAGCATATTGGGATGATGCTCCAACCAACTGATCTACTCAGCCAGGGCTAATCTTTTATTTAGGATTAAAGTTTATAATGAATGAAATTGGTGTTCTTTGTGATTGTCTTAGCAAGTTTTGTTAAGTGAACAGTAATAGTTTAAGTAATTTAGGAATTATCGCTTCATCAAAGGTGGAGTGGATTTTTACAAAGCAAGTTTAACCAGAAAGATTAGGACCAGTTCCTCAGCTTTTTGTGGGGTTGGACCTATACTTCATTTCCATGAAGCCTTGGGGTTACCTGAGCTGGCAGTCACAGAATGGGATAGAGAGAACACAACTGGTTTGGATATGTAGCCAGTGAATAACCTTTTATAACATAACTAGAGACCCAGTGCATGGATTCATGCAGTGGTGCGGGGCGTGGCCTGCGGGAATCGGCCAGCTGTGGGAGCTCAAGTCATCACAGTCAGCGGTGTAGCTGTGGACCCGCCCTCTGAGCCGCTACTGAATGAGGAAATCAGTCTGAGCTGATATTTCAGGGTAATGTCTTGAGTAAAGGCGTGTTCTGTGTCCTGGAGGAACCTGGCAGAGAGCTTTGCACCTCAAAGCCACTCAGTGAATGTCCTTGATGTGTGATGCCAGATCGGTGGCACCATCAGGGATGTTCACTGCAGCCGTGCTCCAGGATCCTCAGCCATCAGGACAGCCTCCCCAGGGGGGTGGGGGCACAGTCACGTCCCCTCTTGCCATTCGCCTATGCCAGCTCCTGGCGCTCTTTCTAGAACACACCTTAGAGGGCCTGCATCAGCTGGTGGGGTCAGGCCAGAGTCTGGATTGTCTCAGGTATTTGATAGGTGCAGAGACTCGGCCTCACCTGCTAGTGGCTGCTCCCAGGAGCAGCTGCTCATCCCAGTCAGCCAAGCGGTGCTCCCGCTATGGGAGCACAATGACCACCAGGGGACAGCTCCTGCATTGAGCATCTGTCTTCTGGTGGTTAGTGCATGTCATAGTGTCTGGTCAACCAGTCGTTCTGGTTGTTCGCCCTTCTGTCACTGGGCTTTTATATATATACTAGAGGCCCGGTGCACAAAAATTTGTGCACTGGTGGGGGGGTGTCCCTCAGCTCCACTTGTGTCCTCTCACAGTCTGGGACCCCTCAGGAGATAACGACCTGCTGTCTTAGGCCCGCTCCCAGGTGGCAGAGGTCAGGCCCAATCCCTAGGTGCAGCCCCTGGTCGGGCTCAGAGCAGGGCTGATTGGGGAGTTGGGGCGCCGCCCCCCTGTCATGCACAGAGCAGGGCCTATCAGGGGGTTGGGGCGCTGCCCCCTGTCACACACAGAGCAGGGCCCATCAGGGGGGTTGGGGCTCCATACTCTGTCACAAACAGAGCAGGGCCAATGGGGAGGTTGCAGCTCTACCCCGTCACGCACAGAGTAGGGCCAATAGGGGAGTTGGGGCACCGCCCCCTGTCACATACAGAGCAGGGCGGATCAGGGGGTTGGGGCGCCGCCCCCTGTCACCCACAGAGCAGGGCTGATCAGGGGGTTGAGGCACTCCCCCCTGTCACACTCAGGGCAGGGCCGATGGGGAGGTTGCAGCTCCACCCCTGTCACTCACAGAGCAGGGCCCATGGGGGGGTTGGGGCACCGCACCCTGTCACACAAAGAGCAGGGCCGATCAGGGGGTTGGGGCGCCTTCCCCTGTCACGAACAGAGCAGGGTGGATAGGGAGGTTGTGGCCCCACCCCCTGTCACACACAGAGCCGCAGGGTGATCAGGGGGTTTGGGCACTGCCCCCTGTCACGCTGCTCCAGGGGCCAGGAGGCCTCATGGCT